GGCTTTGTGAAAATCTAAGGTAGTCAATACTGAACCCTAGCTCATAAAGCTGTGAATTAAGATCCAAACTTGATAATTTTAGAGAGCAATAGATCTTTTAAAATAATACTTAGCATTTATTACTTATAATAATTAAGCTTCAAGATGCCTGTGAGGCAGGCAAGTAAAGCCTCATTTTAGAGACAGAAACATTTACAGCAGACAGAAAGGTTATGTACATTGTCACTGATTAGAAAGAAAAATCTCTGACCCATAGTTGAAATTCTTTGAGCAAATTGTGAGTACACATCCACACTGTCAAGTTCCTCTTTCAACAACTTACACAGTTTGCATTAAACACAGAACAAGGAAAAGTTAAACAAATACAGAAATGCATTCTCAAACAAAAAAAAAAAAACACTCCAGACAAATAATATTATTAATTGTACACATCATGCCTGTCTTACTTCCACTTTGTCAAGTTAAAGGAAATACAAAAGTGGAAGGAAAATGGAGAGAAATATATATAAGGATTAACAATCATAAAAATGCTGAATCTTCCCTAGATCCATTCAAGGATTTGAGGATAATTTTTCTTATTAGAACTCTGTGATTACCTGTCAAGGGTCAGAGTTAGTAGAGATGAACTCACAGAAGCAATGTTGGATTCTACTGAGTAGAAAAATATCCTTCAGGGAACTAGCTTGCTCTTTCCTGAAACAAAATAGCATTTGTTGTTCTTTTGGACAGAAAGAACAATCTATTTGCGGTGTTTGTTCCCATCTGAAAGGGTGACTTGATTACTAAGTCTTTCCAAAGTCAGCTGTATGAAGAGCTGCTCTTATTGTTAACTTCATGGGGATGTGCCCTGTCTAGTGCACACACTCCTGCAGAAGTGATGGGCAGGTGAATGTGCCACTTTCAATGACAGATGGCCTCTGAGATGAAGGATCTGAAATACACTCCATTGTGGCAATTTATGTAACACACCCACAGTGGTGCTGTGCTGGAAAGAAAAGATTTAAATGTTAGTATAACAACTCAGTTTAAATTTTTTTATGTACAACCAGATCTCCACTTTCATGCAAAGCTAAATATGGTTAAGATTAAATTCTTCAACATGTTTTGAAGACATTTTCTAGAGGGATTTAAAAAACTGGTGTTTAATAAGACATGGGCAATCACTTCTAATTCTACAAACAGCCCCTCCCATCTCCCAAAGAAGTCTTCTACTCAGTGTGACAAAACAGTACTACAGAATTGGAAACAAACAAACAAAAAAATCATGAGGCATCCCAGGTCCTACATGTCCAACAGTGTGTATCCAAATATCCCAAATCAGTGCTTTGAAAATTGGTATTGTAGCACCTGCAAAGTGCAGAGACCTGACAAAGTCTTGGGTCTTCACAGAATGAGAGAGACTCACCTGCAAAGAATCTGTAGACATTCTGTTTGTCTCCTCAGCTAAAGTAAAGTGGTATTTGTGTCAATGTATTCACACATAGGATTTAGAAGCAAGAAGGAAATTTCTGGGATTTTTTTTCTTAAAGGAAATTGAATCTTTTAATAATCTACAATATTTTCTTCTGTTACAGATATGGACTCATTAATGCCACAATCATGAAATATGTCAAGCAAAGAGGTGAAATGGTGAAGTCTTAGGTGGACTAATAAAACTCAAAGTGGAGACAGGCATTTCCATACTGATTTTGATTAGACCAAATCACAGAAAGCAAGTCTCCTTGGGCAAGGAGGTGGCAAGTATATTTTTGGTACACCTCTTGTCTCCATCTTACATGTGCCAAGAGAGCAAAATAACCATTGAAGACAATGTATAAACACAAAACTGAACTAAGAGAGCTTGAAAGTTTACAATTCTAGCATGCCAAAAGGCAAACTAGCATATTTAAGACCAAGATAATTTTATTTTTCTCATCTAGTTATTTGTTTAAATGACACCTGCTTCATTTCCTCATTTAGTGGAAGAACGCTCAAAGAAGGCAGCAGTGTACTGAGAACACAATAAAGACCTTGGGCAAATTTGAAGTAACTGGTCTGCCTAGGCAATGTGCATACATTTTGCTAAGTAGACACCAAGTAGTTTGTTGATATCAACAGGTAGAGAGCTCCTCCATAGCTACAGAGAGAATGCTTCCTTAATTTGGTCAGAATTAATACAGAGTAGCAGTGAGCAACACCGACCAGGTGAAGGAGTGGAGTAATAGCATGACACATGGAGGAAGTGGAGGAATAGCATGACATAGCCCAATCCCTGTCTGGGTCATACAAAGACAGTGCTCTCTTGATACAAGGATACTTCTTTCAGCCTAGGCTTTGAGATATTTCAGGGATGGGATTTGAAATATGGTTCAAGGGTGATCTAAATCTGGTAGATCCTGACTCTCAAATTGTTGCTTATGCCTCTAAACCAGTAGAGAGTCAAAATCTCTCAACATTATTTGAAGAAAGCCTAAATGAGATTACTGCTCCTCTGTGCTGATACTTGTATATTCTGAAGAAGATTAATGTCTCAGCTTTATATTACATTTGCATTCTATGTACTCATTCCATGGAAATAATGCATTAAGTAGTTAGCATATAATTTGGGTGCATATCAGCCAAGCATGCATCCTACTCTCAACATTGGCTTCCCACATTAACATTATTGCTAGACACTGAAAAGATTAACTACGTAAGTGAAATATTCTCAGTAGCCTTAAAATGATCATAACAGATCTACACCATATCTTCAAATTGCTTTTCAAAGCCTGGTTTCTATTTTTATAATCAATTTCCTAACTAAACTACATTCATCATTATGAAAACAAATCAAGTCATACACACATTTTTGTCTCCTTGTGACAGACATTGCTTGAGAAAGGAACAACTAGTTTCATCCTCCAGTAAACAGCTGGTATCCTTAGATAAGAAAAGCTCTGCACATGGCCAGGCATCCAATATTGTGGAAAAATGATGCACTAAAAAGAAAAAGACAACAGAAGTCCCAAGTGCTTACATGAGACGACGTAATTTATAACCAATATTCATAGCATAACTTAATTATCACTTTGGGGGTTTTTTTGTATTTTGTCACTAAACTGCAACCACAGCTTCCTTCGGCATCACTGGATTTGTTCCTGGGAAAATAAAAGGCATCAGAACAGGAAATATTTTTTCCTTTAGCATGAGCAAATCAGAGAATGATTGAAGGATAAACTTAAGCAATAATTAAGCTTTGATATGTGACGGTTCACCCTTCACGACTCAGTCATAAGATCTGCATGTTCTGAAAAGTCAGAGCCAAGTTCAATCCCACTACCAATTTAGCAAGTATCTCAGGGTAGAACTAGATTGCCTGATTGTCATTTTAGCATAAATACTGTTAGAGTAATTTAAATTCCCTGCTTAGAAATCTTATTGCTGTATTGAATAATTTTAAAGACATGCCTTCTTTAAAGCAATGACTGACTCATTCAGATAACAAATTGGACAAATACACAAAGAGCAATAAATAACAAAACATTGATAGAGAATTTTTTTCAAAGTCACATTCTGACTGATTTATAGGAATGGCATATAAAAGGCCAAACCAGCTTGAAGTGACCACTCATACACTTTCAAAATAAATTAATGAGGAAAAATATCACTTAGTGAGGAAAGAGTAAAAAGGACAAGATGCCTTTGTGAATATAACCTCTTCCCCCTTTTAGTATGAGGAAAAAAAGACACAGGATGTGTTAAGTGAACTCCTCAAAAAAAAAGTATTTTTCATATCTTCTACCGGGTAAAAGAAAAGCTGAAGAACATTCTACATATACTTAGCCTAGACTAGGCCATCAAAATCCTTCCCAAATAAGGGACAGAGTACTATAATCTCCTTATTGGCTCCCCCTTTTACTTCAGGATGCTAGTTAAAAAGAAATCACCAAAGAAGCTGTTGTCCCTTCTGTGCAGTGCACCATACTCTTGGCAAGCTAGGCAGGAACAAAAAAGTAAGCATGGTCCTCCTTCAATTAAGCACTCAGGGCAGACAAAGTGGCCTTCAGCTTCCATAATTAAAGAAGAAAAAGGCAATTGGCTCACAGGCCATAAACTCTTGCTGAAAGAGTAGAAAAAAAAAAAAAAGAAAAAAAAAAAAAAAAAAAAAAAAAAAAAAAGCTTCTAAGCAGAAAAAAAAAAAAAAGGAACAAAAAAGAGGAACAAAGAAAAATCATCCATATAGAGAATTATCAAGAAGGGCATTTTAAACGCCTCTTCTTTTTTAGGGTTTTTTGTTTATTTATCTGTCCCTTTCCATTAAATTCAATTTATTTGAATTTTTCAGGAAGCATAATCACTTTTCAGAGATAATTTTCTTATTTAAAGTAAAAATTTGAACTGAGCAATAATGAATCATACCTCTAATACATTCAGTCAATGATATTCAGCCATAGTTCTGGCTGTACTGTGCCTCATGTCATTCTGGAGGTACTTTTTTTATTGTTACATATTGAAGTATGATTGATGACAGCTCATAATAAGTGGTTGCATGATATGTTTTCCCCACTCTTCAGGAAAAGGTCATTGTTGTCAGGGTCTACTTGTGGGATAGAAACAGGGATCTGAGACTTTATGAGTTTGACTATTGATAAATATCTTAGCACTAGAACTTTCCAGGAACATCCTCACAAACACAAGGCAGCAGGAAAAAGCGTAGGTTACTACTTCTCCCAATTTTGAAGAAAACAACACCAAACCATAATCTCCTTTTCTTTCGGTTACTTATGAAATAAGGTGTTGATTTCACATACTGTAAATCCCTAAAGGACCAGATGTTGCACTGACTGGGTGAAAAAAATCACAAGAATTGACACACACACAAAAAAAAGACAGTTATTTAGGTGTCATGAGAAAATGGAAAGAACGAGAAAGATATTGAAGTCATAGAGTCATGTTTGTTATTTACCTATGCAGTAAGCAGCGATCTTTGAACAGAAGCTGCCTTTACAGACTCCTTACAGTGATACACCAGTAGGTTCATTTGGTCCAATACTTCATCTGGAAAACACCTAAAGCTCACTGCTGCAAAAAGATTCAAAAGATTTTATCAGACAAAAAAGCCAGCACAAAGAAATTTATCCTGATCCAACCAGAAGCATCTGCTCACACTGTCTGCCAGTCTGTTCTGCAGACCTAGTAAAAATGTACAGCTGAAGAGACAGACTTAATTTCAAATGCATTAAATCATAGCCAGACTGCCATTTGGCATAATGAGAAAGACCTTCCCCACTCCTTTTCTGTTTATGTATAAAATGCATTTGTATTGCCTGTCATTATTTAGACTGACTGACCTTGAGGGTTTGTGGCTTTTTTGTTTTGTTTCTGTTCCTTTTTAATGTGTATGCTGGATAAAAAAACGCTGCACAGTGTGATACAAGTGAAGACTTGGATAGGATGAGTTGTCTGGTTTGGTAGAATAGTACATCATGGCTGTGCTGCTGTCCATGTTGGGATGAACTGCTGTTTTAGGCTGCTCCTTTCCAACACATGTAAATATAACTGATTAATTTCTTTCACTTAATGACCCTTATATGTCCTGCTCATAAGCATTCCCCACACACACACTCACTCCCCACAGTATTCAGTTCCCTGCAAGTATTATATGACTGCTGTGGCACTGCAGCTGGAAGGCTGAGCAAAGCTTTCAGAACGTTAGCTTTCTAGAAATAGAAGCACACTGCCTGTAAAGGCCATTTGCTGTCTGATATCTAACAGCAGCCAGTGCTAGAGCAGTCCTTACACTGAGATAAACACCACGCATCCACAACACAGTTGAAACCAGAAGAATAATTAATGCCAGCAAGGACACTGGATTATCATTCCTTAATGTTCAGTGATGGTTATGAATGCTCAGGGTCCCAGAAACCTCTCATGTAGGAGAAAAGCTGCAGTGCATGAATTAGGGTGGCCTGCACTGAGAAGATTACATGTGTATGCACACACAGGCTGTAGCCAGGCCTGTACACACACACATCTGCGTTATACAGATGTGCAAGCCTCATGTTACAGCTCCTCAGCATGCTCACAGCCAACAAAACTGTCATGCTGCATCCAGCTGTGATGACTGTGTTTTCAGAGACCTCCTCTTCCAAAACAGAAAAACATTTTAAGAATTCTTAAGCACACCAGCCAAAACAAAGGAAGCAAAGTTGGAGCAGAAGTGCTGTGTACCATGAAAGCGAGAAACAGTTATGAGTAAATCAGTTTACAAGAGAGATGGAAACAAGCCCCAGTTGTTGCCAAAGACATGTAACTTGATGTAGAGTGAAAAAGAACCAATGCAAGGGAATGTAAACAAAAAGAGTTGTAAGCATCTGCCTGGAGGGTTCTTCTTTCCCCTTACTCATAGTGTGTGTGGTGGTGGATTGGGCAAGACCTGCCTCTGAAAAGAATTTCTAACTGTATTATATTACCTGCAAAATCTGTTGGGTAGAAAGCACTCTGATTTGAGTTTGAAGTCTCTGGAGATATGCATTTAAATTCAAGCCAAAGGTTATTCCCATGGCTTTAAAATCTTCAGTTGCTATATCTGAAAGGAGAAAGTTTTGACAACTGAAATTTAGATCTTTGAGAAATGATTCACTTTGAGACAGTGAATAAATGTCTCTGAATAAAACACCACAGGGGTCCTCCTCTCAGACAGAAAGATACCCAAATAACAGCTCTAGACTTGTTCTTTTCTAATATTCTTTCTGCTATCTTCTTATAAAAAGGAAAATTCACCATCTTTAATTCATTTTTTAGGAAATAAAATGGATCACCTTATTAATATTGAGAAGAAGCAAAAGCCACTACTCCAAATGATGAACTGCAGGGACAAAGAGTCCTGAGGGCACATTTTTTTACTGTTTGACCTTCAATTAGCCATTCCTTAATGAACCTGTGGAATTCAACTGTTGAAATATATATTTACAAAGGATATATTCCAAAGAATATACAAATATATATTCCAAAGAATATATATTCTTTGACCAATATTATTACTAATATTACATTGCAGCCTATTTGCTATTATTTTCCAGTGGAAACAAAGGAGAAAAACACTTTTCTCTCCTTTCTCACATTTCTTAACAAAAATCAACAAATGCAAGTCTCTTCCTCATTGTTGGCTACTTTTGGCATTCACATTCACATCCATTAAGGAAGGAATCAAGGTCTCTTAATTATTCACTTTTCATATGTTAAACAATTCAGCTTCCCAAATCCTACAGAAACAAAGTGACAAAAGAAAGGTGAAATATTTAGGCTGTTATTGCTGTTCATGAACCTTAACATGGGAGGCGAAAATTTACAATTTCAGGGAGCAGCAGAAGTGTCAAATACTGAATGGGAGCTTATTTTCTGAAATCCAAGCCGAAGTTCTGGAGTTGCTTTAGATCCATTATAAGACTTGAGAATGTTAAAGCATTCTCGGAGTTGACTTTTCTCCAGCTCATTTTTCATTCACCTCTATTTTCCCACACAAGGCATCACCTCCTCCCTTTCCCCTGACAGCATTAGTCACTAAGATCAGAATTGTCATCAGATCTGCAATGTTCAGACCCACATTTTCTTTTCTGATGACAGTAAATCTCACTGTATGGGTTTCAGAAGCGGCCAACAAGAGACAAATGCTACCTGGGATAATTTCCCACTGGTGCCAATTCCACATGCCCTGGTCCCATTCTCTAACCATTTATCAACAGGGAATGAAGAGACAGTAATTAAACTCTATTTACATTGGTGCATTTCTCTCTAGAGCGAAGGCTATGACAGAGCCTACATGAGGCACAGAGGCATCCTGCAGCCTTTCTGCTGGCCCATCCTGGGCTTTAGCTGGCCATGGCTAGCTCCAGCAGCACTGCTGGGTGCTGGGAAAAGTGCTGCTGCCTGGGCCCCTCAGCTTAGGAGCTGCATTTAAGCTCCAGCCCATGGCCTGGTCCCATGCTATGCTGCAGGCAGACCTGCATCTTGCTGCTTGTGGCTTAGCCTCATCTCCATCAGCCCTGCCCTTGCAAAGAGGCTCCTGGCCCGGGTCCCAAGAGCTACAACGAGCAGGGACGCAGCAGCAGAGGGCAGCACACTCAATGCTGAGGGCACCTCTTCAGTCCTCACAAGTGCAGAAAAACCCCGAGGAGAACTTTAAAAAACCCTTCTACATGATCTCATTGCTGAGCTTGCACTGGTCAGCACAACTCGTGAGCAGAAATGTGCAGAGCGTAGTTGAACTGCATGGCAGTTTTAATTTATAAATTTCAGTTCTCTAATTTCTATTTGGTGCGTTAGCAAATAATTGTGGCTGATAACAAAATTGTTTGCGTGGGGGGGAGGGTAATGATATGTGAGCTGTGTGTGATGAAAGGGAGGAAGATAAAGCTCTGATGCAGACCTGAGTGAAGGAGGATATCGAGTGACTTAGCTGCTTATTTCTTTGCTGTTTGCTCCTGCGTCGGAGGGACACACAGTCTAGCACACCTCACTCATGCCTGATGACATTTTCCAGATGTATTGTTTTATATTTACATTTCAAAACATATACACAGTTAAAATTAAGGTTACATCAATATCATCTCCAATCAAGGCTCAGGAAATTAAAACCCACTTCTACTAATTGAACTGTACATCTGATCCTTTAATCATTGCTATTAGAACTGTTTAGCTATTGACAGTGTACAGAAGGCAGTGTATACCTTGCAAGGAAGGGAATTTCTTCCATGCAGAGCAAAACAAATGGTAACATAATAAGCTTTAGAAATCTACTGGGGAAAAAAAATCTATTTGTGAAAAGAGGCTGAGCTAGTGTTACCCTGAGAACATTCATTTTTCCATTTCCTGACTTCAACTTATGGTGCAAACCATGTACAAACCCAAATAGGTCCTCAGTTTTTTCTAATTAATTAAGATGGGGATTGCAAACATAAGGACATCTGCCTTTTTATACCTCTATAAGATGTTAGAGTCAAATGTTGTGTTCCTTCCACAAGAATGTGAAGGAGAAAAGGAGGGGACTTCTTATTTTAGATTCAGCTTCTACTGTATCATCTACTGTATCACTAAGATAAATAAATGTTTTAAAAACAAGCTTTGCTACCAGTTTCCAAGTTCTACCTGAATTATGCTCATTCATTACAAGAAATTATCTATGAATCACTACAGTACAACCAATCTGGGGCAGGACAATGACTTAGTAAAAGGCAGCAGTGAAAGCCAGTATATCTACCTATTTATATCACATTTATCATAATGGCATACATTTTTTTTGGAACTATAATTTACTGTGAGTGATTCTCACTTCCTATACCACATGACAAGGAAGCATTAGAGGTTACATTTAATTTTTATGGGGTTTTTTTACCCAGTTCTCTAGTTAAACAGGTTAATGAAGTCAATACTATCTGCCCTGTCAGCCTGCTGACATTAATCACTTTCCGAACTGTTAGTTTTGCTGAAATTAAACTTTTCTGTTCCCCCAGAGGTATTGTCAAAAGAGACTTCTAGTGAATGGGAGAGACTTCAAACACATACCCCTAAAGAGGTACAGGCTGTGGCCTGAGTGTATAGGCCAGAGAAGACAACATGGGAAAGAGCTCAGGCACAAAACCTATCAAAAATTTCAAATAATGTTTATGTCATTCCAAGGCTCCAAAGTAAAATTAACCACAAGATAAATCAGCAGAAGAGATTTCATTAGTACCAGCAGAACTGGCACCAAGGAACTAATGGCTGTTATTACTTCACAGGGTGTATGAGGAAGAGAAATTATCTTCTTACACAAGAAATAGTGTGTTTATCATTAAGTGAAAAAAGGGAAATAAATGGTAAAATGGTGTTACTGTAAACAACTTTGTATTTCTGTTGCGTCTCCTGGAAGGACACAAATTTTGTCATACTGATGATTTTTAACAGCATTTCATTAAACACCAAGAAAGTATATTGCCAGCCTATTCTCTCTCTTTCCAATATGTGTTTGCCAACAAAAGGGAAAATTTAAAAAGCAAAGACATTATTCTTACCCTTACAACTTCATAAAAGCCTTCTATGCATTGAATGAGGACTGCTGTTTGCATTAGTATAGATGACTAAGAGGAATCCACAGCTAAATGAAAATAAATTTTAAGAAGTTACTATGAAGTATACAGTTGAAAATATTTTAAAAACATAATAATCCTATATTCTATGTAAGAATATATATATATTTATATTTTATTATTTTAGTTTCTTATCTTTCTTAACAATTATGCTTATTTTTAAAAGAAATGCTGTTACTTCAGCACCCATGTGGTAGCATGTGGATTACACAGATTTTTAAGATTATCACAGAGGCAATGAAACAGTCAAGCTGGGACTTTTTAAACTTAAGTAATAACTAAATTTCTACTATATATCAAGAAATCTCATAGGAAGCAAATCAAACTTTCAAAGGAAGACCAATATTGCCTGTCAACAAAACAGAATTTGTAGATGCACAAAACTGCAGAAAACAGAGGACAGACATAAATTAAAAACAACCTTTTAGGAAATTATTGCTAATTTCATTTGGTCAGACAGTTTTAAATGGTTCTATGAAACACAAAATAAAAGTAATACTAGCTGCTAAAGAGAGAATTAAGTCATTGATAGAAATTTGGTTACTGTGTGATCCAAATATAATCACCCAGCATTGTTTTCTCCTCAGATAGCAAGAGAATAAATAGAGCAGGCAGGCTCTAGAGCAGATGCTATAACTCCTTTAATAAACTTGAACAGCAAAGAACACCCCTAAAACACACAGCAGAGCAATCTTACAAAGCATCTCTTCTGAGGTGTGTTATTGCTCTGTAAAACTGTGAGTGTTCTCTAGGAAGGTTCACACCAGGCTGCTCCTGATGCTGCTGCCATCTCCAGCTCCTGCTTAGGCTTCACATCCAGAGTTCCTCAGTCTTGCTGTAAGAAAGGGTGTCCTTACAGCTCTGTGGTCACCAACTAACAGGGTGCCTGGAGCACAGCAGGTGAGTCACAGCCTAGATACATGTCATAAGCCCATGGGAAAGGAACTTTTGGGACTGCTGTTTGGGTCATTAAAATGAGAGTACAGTCAGGAGGGATGTGAGCACAATGCACCAGAAGCAGGTTGGTATGCAGTTCCTTGACAAAAAAGGCAAAAAAAATGAAGAGGGAAAACATCTATAGAATATGTCTTGTTTCCTCAGAAGATTCACTTTGGTTTTGCTTAAAATACGTGCCTAAAAATTAAAATATTTATGTTTGTAGCAATCCTGTCATAATGGGATGTTAAATATGGAATGAAATACAGTTTCCTTCTCTCCACTTTCCCCATTTCTGGGTTGATTCATGAAGACTGATTTCCCCTACTCACATGGGACTGCCATGATGCAAATCTTGTCTTCCCTGAGAAGGAAAACCAATGCCTCAACAGTGTTACAGTTCAAAAGGTGATTAAAGGTACTGAGCAAAGCACCTCCATGCCACAGCCCTTCTAAACCCTATGCCATCACTTAACATTGTAGTACCTTAGTTTTTCATTACAAAATAAGCCCAAATGGTATAGTAGTCTAGAAAAACAACAAGGAGGCTGCCAGACCTGTCCCTTACAGCGCCAGGCAGAACCACACTATGGACAGTCAAGGACAAATCTTCAAATGCCTGGGAACAGCCACAACTTCAAAGGCTGCTGAGATGACAGTTCAGAGAAAGGGAAGAAAAGTCATCCCAAAATGTATCTGGCTTTAGACTTTGGAAGCAAAATCAAGACAATCTTCAAACTGTTTCAAAACTGACTCACCCACAACAGAAGGGTGTAGTAGGAGTGCAATATGCTAACAGAGTATCCCATTTATTTGTATGTAGATGCAGAGAATTACAGGCATAAAGATATTGGGCTGTACATGAAATAATATATTTTCTCACTATAAAATATTTATGGCTAATCTAATCTTACATTAAATGTTTCTTAATAATGGCAAACATTTGAGGCATTATAATTGGTGAATTGCTAGGAAATGTCATGAAACTAAATGCTTAAAATGTAGAAATTACCTTTAAGTCATCTCATTTGAATGAAATTATAAAAAATCGTGTTCTATTCATTATTTTATGTATGCTTCATTATAATAATATGGTTTAGTTTATGTAACAAAAGGATCCTAATTAGATCTTTCTTAAATAGATACAAGTTTATCAGTTAGCGTATTCTGGGTAAACCATTCCAGCTAATGCAGCTTTTGCTGCTAATGCAGTGCTTTAATTCTTTCCAGTTGCTAGAGGAGTTATTTCTACGCACAGCATGGAGGCTTATACTCATGCTTCTTTGACTGCACATGAAAATAAAGGACATTCAAGTAGAAAGAGAGGGTAGAAAATTAATAATTTTAAATCTCAAATCAACCCACATTTTCAAAAAAGGAAAACACAAATAGATGAACACACCATGATAAATAAAACATGTGCTTTGACATCTCCTGGATTTAGTAGACAAATTGATTTATATCTCTCAAGTAAGAGACAACAAGGAATACTTGATTTTTGAAAACTGGCACGCTACTAGGAAACCAGAATGTTTTTATTTAATTATGGTAATTGTCTATTAACATTCTAATGCATTCTAAAACATTAGAAGCTCTTCTTTGCCTTTCTTCTCCCATCATGATGATAAATTCATCCAAATTCCCTTCTTTCCAACTCCTTTCTGTCAACACAGATGAAGTTAAAGAAAATCAGTGAGAAAAAGAAGAGGAGGAAAATCATTTTGTTTTAACATGTCATTGCCTATGTTACAAATTCACAAGTATCAAAATACATGAAGACAACTGACAAATTTTATATGCCATTCAACAGCAATCAATCCTCCCTCCAGACCAAAATAATCTTTACCTCTCTTTGAAAACACTAAATGCTAAACACATTTCTACAGTTCCTTCTTAACGACACCATATCTTTTTGCCTTAACACTTTAGCCTGATTTCTTAGGAAATTAGACTTAATGAGATCATGTTTTTTTTCAAGGTACAGTGATTTTTTAACTTGTTGGCCAACTATAATCAAATCCAAGAATGAGATAGTGATCTCATAGTAGTAGTAGAGACAATTTATGATATCAAGAGCTTATGGTGGTAAGGTCAGCACACTTTGGAATACAAACCAACATTTTCTCAAATGCACATGCCTTCTGAAATCCAACAGTAAGCCTTGTCAAAAAAACCCAAAAAGGTGAGTTTGAATACTTTTATTTACCCCTTATTCTTACTTTTAATGAAAGACAACTTTCTTGAATTTGTAACAGCAAAGAAAATTGTAAAATAGTAGCTTTTCCATCAGAATTGTAAGGACAAAGTGTCACCTGGTATTCTGGAATTTCTGTTCAAGTCTTAGTACATTATTATCACAGTCCGTGATGTAAGTTTTATATTTTTTACCCATGATATAAGTATTATATACATAAGACGGTGTTTTGCATATATGAATATGTATATATACACACATTTGCACATCAAAATATGCCAGTTGAGACATTTCTTAACGAAAAGATTTTCTGTTTGTACTATAACGTAACAGTTTAGCATTTCTAGAAACAATCAGATCTTTGAAACCACTGTGAAAGGAAGCTCTTGTATAGCACTCCTTACAGTCACGGAAAAGACCAGGTGTAATGGGTACAAGTTACTCCTGGGGAGATTCTGATTGCTCATATGAGGAAAAATTTTCACAATGAGAGCAATTAGGCATTAAAATATCTTTCCCAGAAAAGTAGTGATTTCCCCAACACTGAACACTTTGGCTGGACATGGTGCTGGGCCATTTTGTTGAGACAGTGCTTTTGCTAAGAACAGTTTGACCAGGTGACCCTTGAGAATCCTTCCAACATGACATTCTTTGTTATTTGGAAAACGTTCTTCACTGAAAATGCGATTAGGAACTGAAACAAGCTCACCAGTGAGGTCATGGATCCAAGCCTGTCAGTGTTCAGGAAGTGTTTGAACACTCTTAGATATTAGGTTTAACTTTCAGGTTGCCCCATGTGGAGTCAGGAGTTGATCCATGAGTCCCTTCCAACTCAAGATAGTCTACAATCCCATGATTCATTATCATGGCTACTTGGACAAATGCCAACCAAAAACACACACCAAATAGATTTTCCAGGGGAAAACATAGGTTTGATACACACAAAAAGCAGGAACTTGAATTGCTTGCAACATAAAATATACACAAGGAAATGTAATACACATAAGAAAATACAAGCCAAGGCCCCAAATGGCTGGGGTAGTCCTATTCCTCATCACACTGTGCCTTTAAATTGTCACTCCTCAGTTTCAGAAGCAAGCTCTTTATTCCACTTTAAAGAATAGCTGCTTTTCTGTATTGTCTTCAGATATAACACAGTACTGCTCAGCTCTCTCAAGCCATTCATTGACCACAGGTAGGTAACTCCTTTCTTTGCCTCTTGACCTATCATAAGTCCACTTATTTCATTTCTATTTAATTGCACTCTATATATGAAAAGGGATTCTCCCAGATATTACAACATATGAAAATCTAGGAATATTTTCCACCAAAAACAATGAAAAAAAATTCTACAAAATCTTAAGGACCTGAGTCAGAATTATCTTACATGAGTAATATAAAATGCAAATTTCTCTAGATTAAGGAAAGCAACATGACTAACTTGAGATACAAGGCCTGTTTTTGAAGAGATATGGTGTTTTATAAAACTGATAAAGAACAATACGGGACATGCTGAAATAGAAGTATTTTCTAAGTGCATAATTTCCTCTTCAGCTTTAGGTCACTACATACTTAAATAATGATAGGAGGTAGTATCATTTTAAGTGTGAGGAGGTTATAATTTAGCAGCACTACTACACTTTTGAAAGTAAAGAAATTTAATTCATGATACACCTAAATAAAATATCTCTGCTTATGAAAATAACATTAGCAAGTACACTACCCAATAATGAATCCTGGGTTGCACATTTTCAACAGATTCCTAAGAGTAGCAGTGTTGGTTCACTAAAAAAGAATAAATTCAGAAAACTATAACATTAATTCTGTTAAAGCAAAATGAATAGACAGAATGAGTACATTTACCCTCCCTTGGATAATCCATTTCTTCACATGGACAAGTCTAAAGCACCTTGATCCCGCTGTCTCTTTTAATCACTTTTTCCTAGACAGAAAAATAGCAGAAGTAATGAACCAAAAAAAAAATTACAGATCTCAAATTAAACAACAGAGACCTATTAAAAAAAAAAGTTATCCATTTATCACTACAAATTTGACACTACTGTGCCAATATGAACTAGAATTTCAAACCCTGTGGTCAATGAAGCATAAAATAGATTGTCAGAAATACTGTCTGAAATATGAATCCACTGAAGAAGAATGCTTGAAAATACCTAACATAATTTAAAAGAATCAAAATTGGCTGAATACACCTCTAAAAAGGTGTACATCTCTACCTCCCTTTTGCAATTCATAAATGGTTTTCTCCTAGTGACTGTTTAATAGAAGTAGTAAAAATAAGCTTCTGATTTCTACATTTGAAAACACTGCATTTCTGTGGAAAGCAAAATCACTTTTTATCTGTAAATTATTTATTCTGTAATAGAAACTAATCACAAAATAATAAGCTTTCCCCTACACTGAAGGAATCTTGGAAAATTCAGGAGGGTGTGTTACGAAGCTCATGGTGTCCTAACCATGACGTTGTATGAAGTAGAGCATTACCACAAAAATTACAATTAAGAGGCACACTGAAATTAATTTTTTCTAGCTTTAACTCAAAACAGAAATAAAAAAACTTTAGGAGAAGTCATACTTGTTATATGCCAGTTGAAAACAATCGTTTCTCAACAAACATCTGAATTTTGGTCAGCCTGAAGCCTACGGCACCACATTAAAGCTCACTAAGGATCAAGATGGCTATAGTAAGCTGCAGTGGTTTTCTTGCCAGGTCGGTTACCTCAGCTAAATACCCTCCACAAGAATACTTCCAGGGCACCTGGACTAAACCAGAGTAATGAAATGCTGTGTACCCCTCTTAGCTCACATTTTGGCCAAGGTAGTTTTGGCTATGCTGATACTGTTCTGCTGGGCTGCTCCTCTGTTTTGATCATCCTTTTGCTATTGAATGAGAATGCTACAAAACTAAAGTAATTCAGTCCTAAAATAAGAGCAATTATGTTAAGAAGGTAAATGATAACAAATAACCCTTTATATATTCCCTAATAAAAACAATAATTAAAACTAACAATTAAAACCAAAGAGTATTTAGCAAACTTTGAGTCTTTCATTATCATTAGAGGTCAATAAAAATGATCAGAAGCTAATCTGTGGTATAGTAAATAATGGGGGAGAGAGGACTCTGCAAATTCTAACTATATTTTTCCCTATTAGAATAAACAGAATGGAATAGAATATGAAAAGGAAATATTTAAACTTGTCTGGGATTATTTATAAATAAGCCAAAATTAATAAGGAATGAAACAGGAGCTGCACTCACATTGAAAAAAAAAATAGAGTCATCTCAAACCACGCAACTGTGGCTTCATTCAAAACACTGACAGTCTCCAACACAGAATTCCTGAAATTTTAAGCAATCTCTCATCTTTATTTGGCCAGTGGACAACAGTGGCTGGTGAGGGAAGCATTCAAACAGACTGCAAAGAAATAACTCACTGCCTCTGAAAGATGGCAAGAATCCAGGGTTTAAACAACCCTGTTTCTTGATATCAGTACATGGAGAGATGTATTATTTGCAGCTGGAATTGGGGATTATCTGACCACTGACAGAAAAAGAGCTGATGGCCCAGTAAAAGAAAGGGAATTAAATAACTGCCCTTTCATTGTGCAGATACTAGAAGGCTCTCCAGCGCTCTAAGTGTTTCTTGGACATTTTTCCCCTCCATCTCCCTCACTGCATTTAGTCCCTGTAATCACACAATTCCAAGAAGGCTTTGGTCAAAAACATTTTCCAGATATGGAATCAGGAAAGGATGAGTATGTACTTTTGTTCCCTCACTAATCCCAATGACAAAGTTTGGAACCCTTTTGCAATATTTACAGTGATTTAACGGCAGGTCTTTAAGAAGTACGATTAACCTTGATTTGAAAATCTGAGAGGCAAGCTAGGAATGAGCATCCCACTGCAGCTTCCAGCCCACAATCAGAGGCAAAGACATCCAATAACTCTCAGCAGTAAGCCCCAGGACTGTAAATATAATAGCAATCTGAAATCTTCATGAGTTTCCATTTAGTATTCTTACATCGTAAGTAGGAACACGATATTTACCAGTGATTGATATCCAAGGAACATAATCTGTCTTACACGAGGTTATTTATTTATGAAGAGTCCTGCAGCTGTGCCTGGAGAGAGAGTGGATGCTCTGTGAAATGGAATGGATGTGTGTATATATGCCCTCTATTTGATGTCAATCTGCCACATTTTATCTAAAATTCCTTGGGTGGTGCATCTTCATACAATCTTATGGCAAGAGCTTAATGATGTTAGCAAAAGAGTGCAGCCAAGAATTCCTGTCTTGTCCTCCTAGTTCAGATTCCTTCATGGATGGGATTCTTCTTACACATGAAAACAACTGGCAGTGTTTTAAGCATATCTTCTTGGTTTGCCATATCTGCAAACAAATCAAGCAGTGAACTCAGGAACACCACACATGTGCAGGCTTATAGTCAACTCTTTTGCTTGAACAAAAGACAAAAGCATATTTGCAGTAAAGTTCAAGTTTCATTATTTCTATGAAAGGAAAATGAGGGAAGGTAATGTATGGGTATCTGTAGCTAACAGAATTTCAAAGTTATCTGCTGCTTAGAGGGCAATTGGGTCCATTCTGAATATTAAAAGCACATTATTTTAAATGTTGTGACCTTTAGATTAAGGGATAAAGCCTCAGTAAATTCCTAAGTAAACTGCACTAGTGACAAGGATTCATCTTCAGTTTTTCATTCCTTTGACGAAAGCACCTAATACAGAACTCCTACACAACCTTACTCAACATATTAAAGGACAATATCCTAAGTTCAGAAAGTCACATATCTGAAAGTCAGGTAAGTCCTTGTTTTTGCATCACAATTGTTCCTGGGAGAATCATAGGAATAATTAATATAAATAAATAAATAGAAGGTTTTATCTTGAAATATCTCAAACTTCAGAAACCTACCAGTCTACCTGAACTCACATTAATATATTTGGCACCTATGAAATTAACATCAAGCTCCTTCAAGGCATGCTACTGTATGGGGTATCTTTATATGCACATCTTCCGACAAGGACTTGATCTCCCTGTGATTGATGGAGGCATTTACCACTACAGAATTCTAATCAAGACACAGATCCTCTGGAGAAATAAGAACAAATAATAATGACAGTAGTGTTTTAATATCCAGCTAAGAGAGACTCATCTCTGCTTTCGTGAACTGAAGATTCTTTCTCCTGTCATTTACATACATGAAATGCTGGGGCTAACTGGTAACCCTATGAGCACACTGGTCTTCTGCAGAATGCCAGACAGAGCTAAACAGCAGTGTGATGAAATAGCCTACACATTAGTGAGTCTGGGATTTTCCATATAAATACTTTTACAGTAGAATGACTTGCCTGCAGAGCAGAAAGGAAAGCTTGGAAAAGCAAAGGATGATTTTATAATTTCAAAAAATTAAGAGGTGCAGCATTTTAGACCATAACTCTATGTGCTTCCTGAAAATAGATTCATCTGTGAATTCTAGGGGGACAAGGGATTATAGGAACTCAAAATGAATTTTACGTTTGGAGGTATATCAAATGTGTTGCTTTAGGCCAGTGGGAAATGGCAGATGAAAAGCTAATGGAGAAAGGCTGGGTAAGGGGCTGGATTTAGGATAACAATCCTACCAAATACTTGAGACCATTTGCTGCCTCCCATCTCCTGTGAAGTATGTAAGACATCAGCATTCCCTGTTAAACCCTGCAAAATGCAGATAAGACACAATGTTTGATGCAGATAAAATCCAGATCTTTCAAAATAAAATCACAACTAAAAAGATAAATATTAGATGGAAGGAGTATACCTATGATAAACAATTCTGTTGATGAAATGCAATTAGTAATCTTATTAGTTGATTCTGGAAAAACATGTTTGTTCAGAGCCTGCAATAAACAACCAAATGTTCCTTCATCAGAAAGTGCAAATCAGCCAACTTAGTTAAGAACTATTCTAAGAACACTTAATAGCATCCAGGTTCAGTGACTGATTTTCTATTTTAAGCAGGAAGAGAGGTACAGCACAAACAATCTGGAGGATAAAAGCCTGACAGCAAAATCTCCACACATACCAAAGAAAATAACGTGCCTATGACAGCTACAACAGCAGCAATTTTCAGCTTCTTACACCGCTCACGCGACGCACTTTGCAGTCATCCCTCTTGCATAAATCTGTACGTTAAAATTTTGCGTTCCAATGGATCGGTTTATGTGCTCCCTATCTGCAAATGAGCCAGATAATAGGAGTGTGAGAAGTGATTTGTGCTATCAGTGACATCAGGAGTTTTGCAGCTGTAGTTATTAACAGATTTTTTTTTCATCCAGCAGCACTGACTAAAATCAATCACTCTGATAACCAGGCATGGCATAAACTGTCCGCCCTGTCATTTCAATCTGATTAATCACACATACACAGACCTTTACCTTAAAGGAGCAATTGTTCACATTTAATCACAAAGATACATTCAAGCATACCATCATAGATTACTAAATTTAAGTGCAATTTATGTCTTATAGTTTGGCAAATACGTTTATGATAATATGGTTTTGGCATATAGATGTATTGTTTCATTCATTTTACAAACATTAAAATCTAATCTAATGTGTTGCACTTTGAATCATTTATCACATCAGATTTGCAGCTTTTGAAGCTTCCATTATACACGTATCCTTATCTGCAGATTTATCCTAATAACCCAGGTACAAATAAGTTATTAGTTATTATGCCTTCTTCACACTGTGCTTGCTTGACAGTAGGCACCCTTCTTCATCATGGATGAAATGACTTTATTTAACCTAAACATCCTACATTCTATTAACTGGCCATTCTTTAGTTTCAATTTTCCCTTTTAATCTCAGAACATAGCACAGATCTTCCATTAAGAGTTATGCAAGACCTTCAGTCTCTTTTGGGTTTCAGGTTATTTTTTATTTTTG